CGTTATATTTGAAACGTTCTGCGCTTCACTGGGAGGCGCCCGCGCCGCAAGGGCGAGCTCAAGGAACGCGGGGAGTGCGGCAGCCGTCGCCTGCCTGCAGAACGCGGATCGCGCCGCCGCGCGCTGCACCCCAATCATCTGAGCGTATGCACCTCCGCCCTGGACCCCCCGGACTTACTGCGAAGCACATCAATAGCAGGTGGTCTTCGCGTGCGCCGCCGCCACCCTGCTCTTCGCTCGCCAAATCCAAAAGCGCCGCGCATCACGAAAACCCCATGCACGCTCTCGAGTCGACCAATCTCAATAGCGAATTATTTCGCGACGACGGAGGATAAATCGAGCTGCGACCCTCGTGTCGGCGTGTTAACGAACTCTCTAATTTGGTATAATATATATAATATATATATATCATTCGACCGTGTAATGAGGACCCTTAGGTCTTCGCTCGCGCTTGCTGCGTTGTTCCACACGCGGTGCGGTGGACCGGCTCGGCATGTCTATTTCGTCGGTGCTATGACGTCATTTCGGTAGCAGTTATCCGCGTGGCGCCGGCGTTTGACGGTAGGAATATTTGCGAAGTTGCTCTACGATATCAGTCGCGGGGTGGAGCATAGGCGAGGGGCGATAGGCGGCGGGAGCAGGGACGCGCGTCTGGAGCGAGCATGCGAGATCACGCGCAGAGATCGGCTAAAGATATTGCGCCGACACCAGCAGACGAGCGACGCCGCGGACACCTGCGGAGTTCAGGCGTCTGTTTTAAGTGACGTGCATGGACGTGTAGCTAATCAGCTGGTAGGCTATAACTAGCTTCGCTGCATGGCATAACGCCGGAGCTGCGGTCCACCGTCGGACACCGCGGCGGACTAGCCTGCCAGACGATTTGACGTGTGCTGTAATTACAAGACACGCTATTAGTAAATTTCATGTTCGCGATTGCGCATTGCTTAATTTACTCGCGCAAGCGGTCTGTTCGTCGTATGTCAAATTAATCTGCCTGCTGATGTGCTGGATTAGTTTGAACTCGTCGCTGATAGACAAAAGACAGCAGACGGCCTCGGCCTGTCGAAACTGTCGACGCGCGTTGTAGAATTAAGAACTCGTCACGAAATTAAATTAAACTCGCATTTTACAAGAAATCCGATGAGCTATGCCCCAGATTGGAAGACATAATTGTTTTATTCGCGGCGGGCTTATATATCGTTTGTTCGGAGAAGGTCTGCCTTTTTAAAGAAAACATTCCGAAATCGTAATGTATCGATGGGAAAGTACTGCCGGCTAACGAATAAAAGTAACACCGTGTGCCAATTTGGTCCAATCTTGTCAGTAGTTGGTATGGATTGGCGAGTCCGTGGTTAGGACCATGATAGAGGGTGGGGGGGGTTCTTTTGGCAGCTTCAATCCACTGGGCGAGTTGCTATACCAATCTAACACACCACTCACACACGAACGCAACGGCATGCACGCACGCACGGTGTAAACTGCGCCACGCACTCACCTCACACACGCACGCACGCACCTCTACGCCGCACACGCGCCAACCCGCAACGTTCATACGCCCACACACACCAAACGAATCCCCGCAGCCGCACGCGCACACCTGTCGCACTCAAGACACTCCGCACATCACCCGTGGTGCACACGACGCAACGCACACGCGCACACCCGCCGCACGACACGACCCCAAGCACATAATTGATACACATCCGCAGCTATTACGACCTCAACCGCGAACTTTTTGCCCTCGCGAATGTTGCGAAATCAGCCGGCTTCGACGCAATCGCATTTGTCACTCCGCCTCGCCCGCTGTAAAACGCCCACCCGGGCGCATCTAATTGAGTCCGTTCGCTATAGGGAGTGTGGTGTTCCAACATTAGCTGCACGTAATTGTTAGCCAACGGTAGCCATGCAACTATTTCGTCTCTAGAAAAGGCCTTTTTTTTGGCTTTCTTTTTTCGTCCGAAATTCCGGCACTAGGAGTGCAGATTCGTGTATGGGCTGTATGCATACCGGAAGGGTAGAAATGCCTCTTGTTCCCCGTATTCTGTGGACGTCTAGAAAGCATTAGAAGTAAATTATTCGTGTTGTGCAGGGCTTGAAACTAACCTAAAATGTTCACCTAGCCAGCAGGGCTAGTGGACCTGTAAAATCTACTAGCCTTAAAAATATCTCCCAGCCTTACTTTTCTGAAGTGACGCGCTGAGGCTACGCAGTGAGGTGAATTTGCCATTTGCGGGGGCGCGCAGAGGTGGGGGGGTGAGGTGGGTGGATCTGGGTTTTGATTTTAGACGCTCCGAGATGCATCTGCCGAAATTCCTTGACTGAATAATTTAGATCAGCTATATTCAGTATATATATATTATATATATTATTATATATATATATATACATATTACATAATATATTCATTATATATCAAGAAGCTTAATAATACTAGCCGAGTGTACAACGGGGAAATAGCGCATTTTTCACGGCAATATTATTTCTTTGTATGCGGTTCTTAGACTAAGTTCATGGTATTGCGTTAAAGATAAGCAGATCCTTCTTGCCCCTCTCTAAAATAGACAAACGCTATGTCTCTACAATACTCCGTAGGCCCAGATATTGGAGGTAATTCATGCCTCCCACAGGCTCAGTAGAATAATATTGCGTGAATAGCACTATTTCCAGTTTTTCCATTGTACAACTCTTTAGCTGTATAATTAGCTCTTGACTTTATATTACCAGTGCCTTCAATTTTAAGGTTTTTTTTGGTTGTCGCGGGAGTGGACAACCAAGATGAGTAGGATTGATGGTTACGTCCCTCAAAGGGTTTTGTTGTCCGGATATTATTTAAACGGATAGTGCTGCATGCCTGTCTCTGCTCAAGTGCTATGATGCTCGACAGTGGCTGTACAAGCACAGTGAAGGGAGCCTAATATGTACATAACTTTATGTTTTTACCTATTTGGCATGACAGCAGAAAATCTATGGACCATTTCGCATATGTTTCTCCATCATGATGTATCAAGAGCAGATAAAGACAGGTCTTATCTTTTATCTAGACAAAGTAAAGAAGCGTCCTTCCTTTATTTATATCTTTTGGCTCTTGATGTATATGAAGATAATAAAATATTTAGTATGTGGTAATGATGCTGGTCAATGACGTATAATTGCTAATTAAAATGATTGCTATGAAATTTATTTCATACACTTACATTAAGTTAAGCTATTATGTGTTACTATATTATAGTACATAATATGAATATACTATAAACAATTACTAAACATTGAACTTAACACTGTGTCAAGTACGCAGGAATGAGTAAAAAATTGAAAATTGTACAGCGGAATTACATCTAGATCAGAAATGTTAAATAACATGGTGTTAATAAACGAACATTGTGTTGCTTAAACACGTGATGTTATAGCTTTGTATTCAAGGAAGCCAGACAATGCGTTAGACATGTACGTTTGCAGCGTATTGTTGCAACTGGCCGATTGTAAAATGAACGCGCGATTATGAATATAAAAATTCCACTCGCCAACAGGGCTGGTCAGGAACCAGACATGTCTTATAGCCTCTTACTTGATTCTCCTACTAGCCGTCCGGCATTCTCCTGCTCATCTAACGCCCCCGAGTTCGGGCGCACACCGCAGACCAAGCGCGCGCCGACGCAAGCGTTAGTTTCAGCCTGGTTGTGGTAATTGTGCCATTCAGTAGTGGCCGTAGCCATTGGTCCGCCCGAGTAGACTCATTAGTACTTCCTCTATGCCCGGGGGATGTGACGCCCCTATACCGTGTGCACCTCCATATATTTTCCCCCGATCATGCAGATTGCAGGCAATTATCCCACAATTAATGTAACATAATAATTTAAACGCCCAAAGAAATATAGATTTAGTGTAATTCACATCATTCACAGCTATATATACACCATTCAAATCCTATTTGCTTCCCGACTGTATATAACAAAATTATGCTTTTCTTCTTCTTCCGTATAATGAACTAGGCTCTTGAAAGAGCGTAAGTAGCTCAACGAGACACGTGCATGGTGGTGGCGCACAGTGTCTCAATGGAGTGTCAGGTCACTCCTCGAGGAGTGACCTGAAGGCATCCAGGGAGGGCGCAGATACTGTGTTGGCTGGGAGAATATTCCATTCTCGCACTGTCCTGGGGAAGAAGGAGTTTACCAGAACTTGATCTGATATGCGCTCCTGGAACAGCTTGTGGTGTCCTCTAGTACGCGCATCACCGCTTTGGAGGAACCTGTCCGCGTTGATGTCTACAAGGTTGTTGCAGATCTTGTACATCATGGATAGCCGACTGTGTTTTCGATGCTGTTCGAGGGACTCCCAGTTGAGGTCTTTTATCATATCAGAGACACATACTGGGGTCTTCATAGAATAGTCGGTGAAGACAAAGCGGGCAGCTTTACGCTGAACCTGCTCAATGGCTTTGACGTGGTTTTACTGGTGTGGGTCCCAGACGGTGGCTGCGTGCTCTAGTGAGGGTCGGACCATGGCCACGCATGAAGCTTCCTTGACAGGTGGCGTGCATTCACTCAGGTTTCTGCATAGAAATCCCAGTGTTTGACTGGCCTTGCATGTGGTGTTGCCTATGTGTTTCTCCCAGGTGAGCCTTTCAGTTATGGTGACTCCAAGGTATTCGATGTGATTCCAAGCGTCAACCACTTTAAGAGTGTGGCCATGTAGCTATTTTTTTAAACTAAAGAATTCAGCAATAATCAATCCAAGAAAACATCTGAGCCCTTTGTGAACAGAACTGGCCTCACTAAAGTCTGACACACTCCAGCAGAGATTTTAAATCTCCTCACCTAACATACCTGAATTTCTCACCTACTTGCCCCCACCCAGTGTCAATCGTAGCCAAGCTAACCACCATGATCTACCCTCTACAGTCTACAAGTATTATAGCTAAATTCATCTGACTCCAAACTGTCATCCAACTGTGGTCATTCAGGTGATGCATCTTCTTGTCTTTGTCTTGCCATTAAGAATTCTATATAATTATAAACTCATTATCATTATTTCAGAACAAGAAGAAGCTGTATGCATTGGTTTGTGAGACTTTGAAGTATACACCGATTATTAATGACATTGTCGAATCAGAAGGGCTGTTGAAGAAGGAAAAGAGTCTACATGGTTTCCTTGTGTTACCATTGGTTTATGATTTGCTGTTTGGTAAAGGTTTAGCATCCGGTAATAAAACCAAGGTGCAGTATCAACCAGTTCTTATATATTATACTTATATTATTATCGTCTTCAAGTGTAGAGGTAGTTTTCACCATAACTTAGACAGGTAATTCTCTCTTTACATGTGTTTGGTTTGCCTAAAAATTTGTTAAGAACTTAACTGTCACATAAATTGATAGTCACTTGTATACCAGTATAAATGCTACAAATGTGCTGCGTTGTAGACTCAAAGCCACAAAATATGCACATTGTTGTGTATCATTTATCAAAATATCTGACTTTAAAAAACTTTAAAGAGTAGTTGCGCTCTCAGCAGTCACCATAACAGTGTTCTTAAGTTTGCTATAATGACCGCAGGATGCAGTTCTTCGACACAAGGTAGCCCTGAAAGCAAGATTGGCACGGTTGATGATAAAGGCAAAGGTAGTGAGGACAGAAGACTTGCTCACTGATCATCTGAAGCCTGAAGGTGTGCCGATACATACAGCAAAGTTGTGAAATAAGTTCATCTGCCAAGTTTGATATATGCATGCTTACTACATTTTTCAAAATTATAATACATACATTTTGATCATTTTTTGTGAAGTGTTTGCTGTTGCTTTAAGTGATATTACATTGAATATTACAGTGACACTACCAAGATATATCAGAATCAACACTCTGATTTCAACAACCACTGCAGTTATTCAACTTTTTCAAAATGATGACTATGATATGCTGCAATACAGCAAGGACATCTCATTTAAAGAGTAGGTGTAAAACATTGAATATCATAAATTGTGAAACACAATTAACAATAAGTTGAAATGTATATAAGCACAATAGTATAAAGTTTATCATAAAATACAAGCAAACCTTGTATGACGATTGTACTGTTCTATTCCTGTTTCAGTTTTATGTTTGAGTGACGTTGTGAGGGTACAGTTTTTTGCATGCCCAACAAGTGGCACACAAAATAACAATATTCACGTAACAGAGAATATAAATACATAAAAAATAGTAGTGCTAGCCTAATGTCAATATCTGCTGTGCATGTATGCCAGAAGTGACGTATATATATAAACAGTATCAGGTTCACATTGCAGTACATACATGATTCATGGCACTGTAATATGAAGCTAGAGTAACGGAATTTTGCCGTGTATGTTTGATATGTTTGTTTCAGATTTGTGGATCTAGTTGCAGAGTTGAAGGAAAAGCAGTTTGTAGAAGATGCACACATACCTGAGTTGCTGGTGTTTGCACCTGGTACTGATCTACATAATCATCCACTCTACAAGAATGGAAGCATAATCTTTCAGGACAAGGTAATGAAGTGAAATTGTGTATTACTTGCAATTTACATATTATAGCAGTTACGTTGCACTCCTACACTTCCCCCACGTCCCCATTCACCATCCACAGCCTCTTAATCTCCTTCGTCCTCCCGACGTGCTTTACATCTAATATACTAACTCCTCCACATAAATCTGCTTCCTCAATTTGCTGTACATTTTATCTGCCTTCTTGCCTCGCTTACCAACTTTGTTTTTAATGAAACAAAATTGCATTTATTTATTGCAGGCGAGTTGTCTTCCAGCCCTCTTGCTTAAACCACCACCTGGCAGCATTGTGATTGATGCTTGTGCTGCCCCTGGCAACAAGACAACACATCTTGCCACTATCATGGAAAACGATGGGTAACAGCCTAAAAGAACATTTTTGATGCACTCTCCCCCTTAATTCCTGTTTAATGTGCACATTCATGGACATCTTATGCATTCTACTTTGCCCTTCAGCTAATGGTTGTAAGCATATTGGATGTCAATACTAGAGTTCGAATGAGGTTTATACATTTTAGCAGGAGTGTATCAATATTGATACACTCCTGATTTTAGTGGCATGTGCATTACTTGTGCTACTGCACATTTCAACCTGGTGCGGCTTGTAATAGCATTAGTGTCAATGCATGATCCAGTAAGGCTTCCACAGTAGTGGCACAAAATCTAGTTTTCAAATTTGGCAGGGGTTCAATCCAGAGCAACACTGATTTGGGTCAAAAGCCATAACTGATGGAGATAGGGGAATGCTTTGCATTGTAATATTAGGTGCAGGAGTGGTGGTTGGTATGCTTTAGCAGAGGCAGTGCAAATCTAAATAACTTCGTCATGGAATAAAAAGCCTATCCTAGTGGAATATGAGTTCAGGCATCTTTCGGAAATGGGACAATATAGCACGTTTCAGACATTTGTGATGGCATAGTCTAACAGACCCAGAAAGGAGATAACTGTTTGTGTCAACCTTGACCTACCATATTCATAACTTTATATAAAAAATTAAATACTCTAACATGTAAAGAGTAGCTCTCTGATGACCTTGTGATCTTTAGCAAGAGGGATAAGCATATATTTTTCTTCGCAATATCTCAAGAAAAACATTTTTTTGGTAGTTACAAATCACTCTGCCTTAGAACATAATGTCAGTAGTAAAACAACATGGGTCAAAGGTTGTGCTTGTTTTAGGAAAATGGTCAGACAGTAAGAATCCTTAAATGTTTTGTCACGTCATAGCAAGAATTGTAAAATGTGTTTCTGTCATTTTAATATTAGGTCCTTTTTACCTTTGTATAAGCACATTCATGAAAAATCTTTACTGCTGTCAGCTAAATGCATTTTGCAGCGAGTTATATCTGTGACATAAACAATTAGCACAAATTGTTATGGCTCGCTTCTACAAAGTTTTCCACAGCATCTAAAACAGCAGAAGTTACAGTAGCAACTAAAGTAGGAATTGAAGATTTAGCAGCAAGAGATTCACAGTAACAGTAGTAGAATAGCAGCAGCAGCAGAAGCAGCAGTGTAAATTGCAGCAGCCACAATAAATGCAGCAGTGCATCAGTTATTAGAACTCTTAGATGAATGCAGCTGCTGCTCGAATTTGGCATTGTTCATGTGACTACCATATTGCATCGATTCTTCTTTCAGCACAATCTATGGGATAGACAGGGATTCCAGTAGGCTAAGCACAATGAAGGTGCTTATAACACGTGCTGGGGCTTCATGTATAACATTACTAAATAAAGATTTTTTAAAGATTATGCCAACAAGTCAACGGTGAGTACAACATGACCATTGTGGTGCAGGCTTGATTCAAATTGTCTACCAAAACACAGTATCATTATCGGCTTTTATAATATTAATATATGTTTAGGGTGTTATGCATAGCGGCTTTATTAGCCTACTGTAGGAAACATCTGAGGGCGTAATTAGCTAAGGGAGACTTATATACCATGAACTATAGAACTCCTTCATTATAACAAGTGCCGCATTAGCGACAGTGCTCATCTGAGGTCTGCTGCTCTACTGTACTGGCCTTCGTTTTTGCAAAAGGTTGAAAGCCTGTTCTATCGCTAAACTGGCTACGTCATCATCAAAACTGTGTAGCATAGTTTTTAACACTAAAACTAAACCCTAACAATGCATCCTACTTCATACCTGCTCGACTGTCTTATATATTCGTGTCATAATGTATCACTAGGCCTATAGTTGCCGCGAGATGGCGCGTGCAAGTGTAATCAATAATCAAAGATGGCATCGCCCTTCGTGCATTGGTGATAAGTCAAGAAAGTAGAGATAACCTAATTCGATTGAGTTGCTGAAATTTACAGGCTAAAATCCAAGTATATTCAGGCAGGCGACAATTTCGCTCTGCTGTGAGTAATAAATTAAACACATCTGCATTGCAAGTGTGCATGTTTATTCGAAAAGTGCCAGTTCACCCCCATGCATGAGTAATGGGTTGCCCCCGGGTTTTTGTCTACATTTCGGATGACGGTAGCCACGCGAGCATTCAGGGTGCTA